TATCTTCAAAAGAGAAATGCAAATTAAAACAATGATACAAGTATACAAATTGGTAATAACCAGAAATTGCTTATCAAATCAACAAATATATTTTTAAAGGTATTAAGAAATAACCAGATATTACGTATCACCTAGTGCGATGTAATTATAAAGCATGGACCTTCATTTATGATGTATTCTAGCCAAATGCATTTAACCTGAATCTAGTAATCCTGTAGATCTAACTTCCAGTTAACAGGAATATAAGATGTTAGAGGAATGCTATGGACTGCATTATGTGCCCCCCAAATTTACATGTTGAAACTCTAACACCCAAGTGACTATATTTGGAGATAGAGATTTTAAGAGGTAACTGAGATTAAATGAGGTCATAAGGATGGGATCTTAATCTGGTAAAATCAGTGGTCTTATAAGAAGAGGAAGAGAAAATGATAACTCTCTCTCTGCCATGCGAGGACATGGTGAGAAGGTGGCTGTCTGTAAGCCTAGAAGAGAGTCCTCACCAGAACCTGATCGTGCTGGCACCCTAATCTGGACTTCCAACCTCCAGCACTATCAACAATAAATTGCTGTCGTTTAAGCCACCCATCTATAGAATTTTGTAATGGCAGCCTGAGCTAAGAGAAGGAACAAACTAAACGAAAACTCAAGGAAACTACCAAACAAATCTGTGGATATTCTGCAGGACAACTGAATTGGGCTTTTCAACAACTGTCCTAGCTACAGAGACTCTTCTAAAATAAAATATATTTAATGGGCATGAACATCAGATGCACTAGACAGTCTTGGGTTGGATTCTGGTGCAGACACGCCAGCAGGAGAAGAAATTTGGAGCCAACTAGAAAATTTAAAAATGGATTGGGCATTACATGAAATGAAATTTATTGCCATGAAAAAGTAAAGTTTATTAACTGAAAAAAGCAAGTACAAAGAGTATGTACAGTGTGATCTCATTTTGGTTAAAAAACAAAACAAAACGCATATCTTTAGATTTGTACAGAAAATATTCTAAAAGAACATATAGTAAGGTGTTAACAGCTGTAATTACTGAGTGGTAAGAGTACATGGGGTGTGTAATATTTGCTCATCTACATTTTTCTATTTTCTAAAATATGCATGTCACTATTGTGATAATAAAGCATTATTTTAATTTTTAAATAAAAAAGTAGGGCTGGCAAAGGTAAGAACAAATAGATACATTCATCTACTTCTGATAAAATAGTAGTTATATTACAGAGGTTGGCACACTATTGGAACACAGTCACCTCCATTCATTTACTTCTTGTCTATAGCTGCTTATACACCACAGTCAAAGAGTTGAGTAGTTGTGACAGATCTTATGTCCCCCGAGTCTAAAACACTTACTATCTGGTCCTTTAAGAAAAAGTTTGCCAACCCAATTATTCTTCAGAGTAATTTTGCATACCTTTGACCCAACGAATCCAATTTTATTCTAAGGAAACAGCATGGATACACACAAAACTTGACCAGTAAGGATAGACACTGTGTTACTTATCTATAATGAAAATTTATAAACAAACTAAATAGGCAACAACAGGAATTTAGTTAAGAAGATAATTGAATAAACGCATATTTAGACATAACACATGTGGTACTTCCACATAATGGAATACTATGCAGCCATTAAAAGCCATGATAAATTAAAAATATTTAATGACCTAAAAATTTTCTGATGTGAAGTAAAAAAGGATGTGTTTTATGTATGTGCTTATGTACATACATAAAAAACTCAAATGTCAAAATATCAACAGGATGGCAGAAGGTGAATATGATGTTCAGAGTTCTTTTCTTCTTTTGAATCAAAATGTAAATGTTTCATGTGCTGATAATTGTTAGAAAATTTTCAAATAATATGGAGAAAGTGTTAGTGTCCCTACAAAACCACCCCTCAGAGAGAAAGTCACTGTTAACAGCCTGGTACATAATCTCCAGGTGTTTTTATGCTTTACTAAGAATGCAATCTATAAAAAACAAAAATGAGATCATACACTGTTCTACAGGTTATACTGACAAATTTCCATTAAGATGCATAAAAGCTACCTTATTCTTCAACAAGTGCATATTATTCCATTCTATGGAATAATTTATCTAACCAAATTCCTATTGTTAAATATATGTTTACAAATTTTTCATATTATAAACTGCTCAGAGTGTTCTTGTACAGTCATCAAGTACTTTTCCTATATCAAGTACTGTAACTATAGTTATATCCTAACTATCCTTAGGATAAATTTTTAGAAAAAGGATTTCTGAGATCACAGGTAATGCACATTCTTAATTTTTATATAAACTGCCAGAATATCCTCCAGAAAAACTCCCACCAAGCTGTGAGCATCTCACACTGCCATTTGTCCTCAGTCATTTACATCATTTTTCCATTTGTATTTTTTATTATGATGTATTTATTTTGCCATGATGTAAATGCAAATGTTTGTTCAGTCATAAAAGAGTTCTAATTTTATGCCATGCCTAAGAAGTCTTCTGAATTTGGCATCATGCGTCTACTAATATGATGATGCACTCAGAAGGACACACTATCACTTCGATGGTAATCTCGCCATAGAAGGAAAATCTAAATTTAATCATGAAGGAACATTAGATAAGTCCACATTGAGAAAGGTTCTACACAATAACTGCCCAGTACGCTTCAAAAATACCAAGGTCATGAAAGACAAAGAAAGACTGAGGGAGCCTTTCAGATTAAAAGAGACTAATGAGACATAACAATTATGTGCAACTACTAGGATCCTGGATTAAATCCTGGACCAGGAAAAGGACATTGGTGAGACAATTAGAGAAATCTGAGTGAAGTCAATAGAATAGTTAATAATATTGTATCAATGTTAGTTTCTTGATTTTAATAATTGTGGTTCTATAAAATGTTAACATTTGGAATCTGAGTGAAGAATATGTGAAAATTCTTTGTAAAAATTCTGAAATTATTTCACAGTGAAAAATTAAAAAATAAAAGTTTAAATGCCTTTGTACTTTAGGACTATAAAAAATACTTTCTTATGTCTTGTTGGCACACTGTTAAAAATATTTTAAGATTAAATCTACATAGCACTTATTTTCGTATAGTCTTTTGTTTTCAAAATGAAGAGTCGATTTTCCCAAAACCATTTATTAAAGTACCCATCTTTTCCCACTGTTTTGAAAGAGACCTATGTATATATAGGAATTTAGTATATCTTGAATTCCTAGGTAAATGTTCGTCTGTGAGTGTGTGTGTATACACGCAAGTGTGATGCACATATACTCACACTGTCTGTTTCAAAATCCTATTTTCTATTCCACTGATATATATGTCTGTTGCCATTACAAGACTAAATCTTTAAGTTCTGATGACTGGAAAGGCAATCAACTCTAATTTTTTTATATCTTCTAAAACATATTTTGAAAGGGAAATTAAAAATAATTATGTCATCTCCACTCCATGATTTATAATTTTATTAAATCATTTGGGGTAAAAGTATCTCTTAAAATACTAAATCTTGGCTCTGTTACCACTAATGGACATCTGCTTCTAATAATGGCAGGGTGGCTTCTATTAGGTTAACTCTCCCATAGATAACAATTATAAACTCTGGAAAAATGAAAAAAATATATTTAAAATACATTTACAGGCACTAGAAAGTGAAAAAATAGGTAGCCTGAACCTGGAGAAGAACTGAATTTTGAAAGATGGGAAAAACTCTTGAGTGGACTTTGTGCATATATGACTAGTCAGTCACCTGAAAGTTCTCCCTAGTGCCTAGAACTTATACAAAAAGCCACAGTCTTATTGGCTTAAAAAGTCGGAGTAGAGTTCAAGACTGTCAAAGTGGCTGTAAGTAATGGGGAAATAGAGGAGAATCATGTAAGAGAGAAACACCAAAATCAGTGTTAAAACTCCACTCAACTTGTTGGCTGACCCATGAACTACATGAACACTGAGGAGACCCCAAGGAAAAGCAGATGCAAGACAGAGAAATAATACAACCGAGATTTCAGATGCTGCCCACTACTAGAGAGTAAGGGTTTGGAGTCCAAGTCTAGTCGAGTTAAATGCTTCCTAGAACAATAACCAGCACTATTCTGAGAAAGGCGATAAAACCTAGAGTCTCTACAACATATCAATATCTAATGTACAATTAAAAAATTACTGACATAAGAACAGAAAAATATGACATATAATCAAGAAAAAAGGTAGGCAATAGAAACTGACCCCATGATGGCCCAGATGTTAAAATAATAACCAATTCTGGAAAAAAATACTTTTTTTAATGAACAGCACCTAGGTAACCTACTGAACAAAATCAGGCTGAATAACATGTAATTACTGTCTCTGAAAGAGAACAGTGAGTCAGAACGGAGCAGAAAATAATATTTGAAAAAATAATGGCCATGAATTTCTCAAAGCCATACCTAAGCACATCACAGTCTAATTGCTGAGAACCAAAGATACAAAAAAGTCTTGTATCAAAGCAGCCAGAAGAAATGACACATTACAGAGAAGGGAACAATAAGACAAATAACAGCTGACTTCTGATCAGAAACAAGAAGCCATAATACAATGGGTTGACAGTTTTAAAGCAATGAAAAAAGAAAAAAAACCTTGTAACTCAGAATACTATATTAAGCAAAAATAGCCCTCAAAACCGAAAGCAAAAATAAAGACATTTTCAGATAAATGAAACAAAGAGATTTGTTGACCACAGACATGTACCACAAGAAATGCTAAAAGAGATTCTTCAGTCAGAAAGTCTACAAGAATAAATGAAAAACACCAAAAATAGTAGATAAGTGGGTAAATAGAGAATACTATATATTAAGACTGTTTCAAGCAAAAGTTTGACACTGTATTGTGGGATTTATAATATACATAAGTACTATCATAAGAATAGTATAAAAGGCAACAGATGGTAAATGAAACTATATTTTTGCAAAGTTCTTATATTTCATGTGCAATGGTACAATATTAACTCTAAGTTGACAAAGATAAGTTAAGAAGTGTATTGTAATCACGTAGAGCAACCATTTAAAAAACTAAAGATGGCTATAGCTAAGAAAACAGTAGAGCAATTACATTGGAATATATATGTATATATAAACATACATATATTTTTTTATTAAAGCAAAAGGCTGCAGACAAAGAAGAGGAAACAAATGAGTCAAACGGAAAAAACAAAATGTTAGTCACAAGTGCAAACATATTGTCATACTGAATGACAAAGCAAGACTCAGTTGTACATCTACAAGAAATATAATTTAAATATAAAAACAAAGATAGGTTTAAAGTAAAAGAATATAAGGCATGCAAACACTATTATATAAAGCATGAATAGCTATATTAAAATCAGACAAAACAGACAAGAAATATTATAAAGAAAAATATTATATTTCTTGTTTCAAGACAAGAAATATTATAAAGAGTTAAGTAGAGACATTTCATAATGATAAACAGGTTAATTTATTAGAAAGATAAAACAATTAAAATATAAATGAGCCTAACAACAGAGGTTCTAAATATACAAAGCAAACACTGATGGAACGAAAGGGAGAAATGGAGGACTCCAGAATCAAAGTTGGAGATTTTTAACATTGTGAATAAATGATATATAATATAAAAATCAGAAAGGATACAGAAAATGTGAACAATAGTCCACCTTACTTGAACATCTGAATCACTGCAGAAAGAAAATTCTATTGGGCAATGCTGCTCTAGAGTCTGAACCAAAAACATACCTGTCATTTAAATTTATAAGTTGTTTATAGAAGAGAAATACTGGATTAACTAATTAGAAATTATATCAATACCTTTTTTCTCAGCTATTTTTCCCTTAAAACTGCATTTAAACTTAAATTCTGTTGCAGCAGAATTTATCATCGAATAGCATTGAATGTATACTCAGTAAGCCAAAATCAAGCGCATTTTACCAACACCAAATAAAAAAAAAACCTAGTCATACTTAATGAGAATTTTGAAGTACAAAGTGGTACATAGTACATGAATCATTTAAAAAACCACATGAAGGTTTTCAAAAGGTACAAATTTCCAGTTATAAGATCTTTTAAAACCCTTAATTTTTTAACTTACTTATATATTTGGTAACTTGTTCTAATTTTCATTCCACCTTTGATGAAGTTGATCATATTTTCGTCCTGAAAACAATTCAATTAAAAAATTAGATCATTTAGCAAAAGATTCTTAAACTTTCCCCACAGCTATATATTGTGTAATTAGAACAAAATACTATCTTTTGAGAACATAATTTTTTATTTAAAACATTCCTCTTGCTTTACATTTGAAATATTTTTTTGTTATTTTTCTTTCAAGTTAGAGGACAACAACAAGGAAACATTTTTAAAATCCTTGAATTCCTTTAAGGAATTAAATAAGTAATCCTCACCAGTTAGGAGGCTTGTCCAAATCTACTTTAATAAACATCATCTTCTACTGACCAATTTTCTTCTGGGTTCAACGGAATCCAAAATGGTTGACTAAAGGATATACTCTAAGGCCTAACTTGCCTTCCCGATGCGCCATACTCTAGTAAATGGGATTATGGTTCTTCTTTCACAGAGTACATAAGCAGGCAGAGTCTATTTAACATTGTGAATTTCATTCCTATACATTGCCAAACTGAAAATAACTATTCTAGATTTTAAATTTGTATCATTAATATAAAATTTTGTTTGGGGGGAAAAAAATCACTTCTCTTTGCCTATGAAGCAGTTGGCCTAAAAGAATGCCAATTTGGGGGTCAGCATTCTAAGATTCTAAGAGTCTCTTAATAAAGTATATCAAAAAACTGCTTGAAAGAAGTTACTACAATAGATGGTACAAATGGAGACGGTCCCTTGTTTCATACATCCAAGAGTGTTTTCCTAGTCTATTAATATCAAAAAGATATTCTGATATTTATTTCCTGTGCACTTGAACATTCTTCTGAAGCAAAACTGATTTTAGTTTGCAAATTTCATTAATTACTTAAATATTTAACATTTAAATTATTATAAGAATCAATAAATACAAAATTTATGATGCAATTTAAATATTTATCTTCATATTTGAGGGAATCTTATGATTTTAAGTTGCAATAACGGCCAGGAAAGAATTTCTTAAATGATATTAAAATCTGCCTCGAATAAGAATATTTAATTCCTTGATTCACCAAACATTTAATGAATGCCTATTTTATACCAGTCACCCAAATGCAAAATTAGATGAAAGCAATACTACGTGCTAAGTGAAGAGGAATGCATACGGATGGAGACATGCACAGGATGTCATGAGGGCACAAAAGTGGGTGGGGTCGGGGCATGCAGAAATCCATGAAAACCTCCTGTAAGAATCAGTGCTTAAAGTACAAAAAATGACTGGGAAGTGGCCTGGTGAAGGAAGGCAAAGCAGATGTGAACTTTGCAAGCAAAGGAAACAGGTGGGAAGGCAAGGAAGCATTACAGATCACGGTGTGCTTCGCCATCTGTGTTATGTAACTCAGCACTGCTGCAGAAATCTACAGCAAAGTAATAACCAAGGAGTAAGAAAGCCATCTCTACTCGTGCCATGCAAGTATGCGACATACCTGCCAGTAGCATCTGAGGACATCGGTAAGAGGGGGAGTAGGGAATTTGGGGAGAGATACCAGTTTAGTTTGAAAAACCTTCCCTTATTTCTGCTATTCTGATACAAAAGCTGAAGCAAAGAAATGACAAAGTGTGAATCTTGTCTTCGAGAGGATGCTCAGTTCCACAAGGGAGCATGAGCTGGAGTTAAGAGAAATTAGAGACAAAGGGTCACTAGGTTACTGTGCAGTCTAGGGAAGAGCTGAGGAGCACCTCCACTAGAACGATTATCATCAGAATAAAGAGGAAGAGATGGAGCTGCTAAATCTTCAAATGGTAACAGAAGCATGACCATGAAACTGACTGGGTATGGCAGCATGAGGAAGAGGGAAGCCATGGATCTTTCCCAGATGTTTAATTACAAGTCCCCAAGTATAAAATAAGACTTCAAATCTCAAATTTGATTGTAAAATCCCCATCTGGGAAACACATCAGAAAAAAAATAAAGGCCTCAGCGACTAGCATTATGTTTACTAAGGCAGTAAGACTGTTGTTTTCAACCGGCCTTCATAATATGCTGGGTTTTAGGAAGTGGGGTCATAGACCAGACTGATTCAGTTTTATTAAACCAGAATCCAACCTAAGATGTCAATCTCCATAAAAAGAGAAAAGCAACTCTCAATACAATGTAAAACATTGAAATTGAGGAAGATTTTCCATTTTACAGTTGAATTTCTGCCCCCTTACAATTTCCACCCCACCGCTACCCCACTGTATCCATCACAGCCATTTGTGCAGCCATGATGTTAAAATCCATGTTTTTTTGACAGGCAAAGTCCTGGTTGTAACAGTTTCTAGAAGTAAAAATATAAAATGCCCCATAAGAAAATAATTGGGGTTTTTTTTAGTGACTAGTTAAAACTGTTCTTCCAAAGAAAGAACTATAAGCAAGAAAGGAGAATAAGAATAAGAAGAGGGGAAAAAATAAAATCTGAAATATACATGAAAAGTTTAGCTTTCTAAGCATGCATAACTGAGGAGGGAATGGCCAAGGATTAAGAAAGCCTCTTTTGTCAGGGGCCCCTGCTGGATGCAGCCCTCTACCATTAGCAAGCACAGAAAGGGATAAGCTCAGTTTTCACACAGAGAAGCATCCTGAAATTAGGTGTACTTGTTGCAAGACACTTTCTTTAAAAGGCAGTGGTTCCCAGGAGACTGAAGTTCAAAAACAGACTCTAAGTGCATTTGAATAGGAATAAAGCTCCCTGGAGTCCTTTTTTCAGCCAAAGTTTATCAGAATAACAAATATCTTTTATTACAGCTCTAAGTCAAAAGAACTGAAGTGCTGACATAGAATGAGCCACATTTTTGCTATAGGGTACTGGCCTGCTACTCCAGCAATACTGACTCTAAGCTAAAGGGTCATTACCTGCACAAACGTGAGTGCTGCTTTCTGCAGGAGACACTCGGCATAACAGATTTCGGCATGCATTTCCTCTATTAAAAACAAATAAAATCATATTAAGGAAAATCCCATGTCCACAGTAATTGCTCTGAGATGTTCAGAAAAGAATGGTAGATAAATGAGCCCAAGAGAGACGCAAACACCTAGTGCTCTGGTGCTTCCTTAAAAGTAGAATGATGACCTCGGTTCTGACCCTTAGCAAGATTTTCCCAGAATGTGTGAAATGGTTCAGGGGAGTCATCTTTGGCTCCCATTCAAATATAACTGAAAGGAGTCGGAGTAGTTGGTGTCAGAGTCCCAAAGCGAGAGGAAACCAAAATTTAAAAGCACTTAAAAAAAAAAAAAAAACATTTATTTTTTAACTTAACAGTAACGCAATTATAAAAACTGAAAAAAAACTAACTTAAATTTATGAATTCTAGCTTTTAAAATATGAAGTTAAGGTAATCGTGGCAATGATTAGACATTATTACCCTGAAGAGAAAACAGCAATTCTCCCAAGTCATAGCTCCTCACACACAGAAGACGATGTAAAAAGAGTCAGCACAGCACAGTTCAGGCTATTTGGATCGTTGAGATATCTAGCACAGGAACAAAGCACTAAAAAAAGGGCTCTGTAAAGCTATGTATATCCCAAGGACATGGGAGCACCTCAAAAACTGGTCCTACATTCCTAAACAATCCATTATACTTGCAGAGATTGGGGAGAAGGGGGAACCTTTGCATTTTTGCATTTTAAAAAATCAGCACATTCCTGTTTTATCCATGAGATACAAATTGGCATTTTATGTTAAGTAGAGGAGCTTCGGGGATTTAACAGCCTGGGTTGGAGGAAACGCTCTGCCAAGTACTTAGCTGTGGGACCTCAAGAAAGCTAACCTACCTCTCTCTGCTGGTTTCCTCATTTATAAAGACTGGATAGTAATATCTCCGCTTCACAGCTAAAGAACCTAATGAGTACTACATGCAGAGTTCACTATTCAGAGAGGCACTCGATATATGTTAGCTACTTGCACTAAAATTGCTGCCCTTGGCCCATGTTGTGCTTTTTGGTAAAAGCTCAGAAAACAGAGCATTTTTATGTGAAGTAACTGAAAAATAGGATATTTCTGTATTCATGGGAATTTTGTTGAATCAAGCTGGGTAAGAACTAGTGCTTTATTTCTTTAATTTATACACCAGACCCCCCCACACACACACACACACACAGACACACACACTGGTTCTCACAAATTGGTTCAACTTCCTGTATGTTCACGTTCCACAGACTGAATTTACAAAGAAGCAACTATGCAGCTAAGATCCCTCAAGAGCACACATATAGATGGGGCCAAACTTAAGGAGTTATGGCCTGTGCACGTTCTGGCACTATCAGCAGGGTCTCAGTTCTTCAAATCACCTCACCTCAAAGTATGCCTTTGAATTTCTCTCAGTGTGTTAAGTGGGATAAAAACTGGTAACTTCTATTTTTACAGAATCACCTGAATATCCTCTTCCTACGTGCATTTGTAGCAAAGTGGGAATTGTGAGGAATTATTCACTTTGAAAGCCTGCTCAGTAACACAGATTGCTGGGGCAGGTGCCCAGGGGTGAAGCTGCTGCTTGGAGAGAAACTAGTAGAGGCAAAGGCACAGAGCAAGGGAAACACAGAGCACCTAAGGAGTGGGCCTTTGGCTGAAACACAAGGTGTAAAGGGAGCAGCGGCTGATGAGCCTGAAAATGTTAAGTCACCAGCTAAATTATGGATGACCTTGAATGTCAGAGTCTAGCCTTGATTCAGTGGGCAATGGTGAGTCCTTGCAGAGATCTGAGCAGAAGGATGATCCGATCAGGGATATGTTAAAGATGGACCTAAGAGTAGGTAAAGGATGTAACCAGAAGACACAGATAAACCATATGTAAATATTCTTCATTATTAAATCCCTATTGCATCCTAAGCACTACATATAAATATCTGTTTTTAAAGGCAATTCGAAAACTATTCAGGGCAATATGCCAGCAACAAGAGAAGAACGGGTGCGTTCTATGTTAAACCCATGAAAAGTTTAATTAAATACTCACTCCTACAGACAACGAGCCACTCAAGGATATAAATGAAAATTACCAAGAGGAAAAACAAATCACATACTAAAGCTACAATGTTTTGACATGCTCCCTTGAACACAAAGCCTGTTTGGGTGGCAGTGGCAGCCAAACTCATTAGGAATGAAATGCAACTTAATTTACAAAAGTCTTATTTCTTCACTCTGTTTGATTTATATTGGATAGTTTCTTGGTTCTCAAAATTAGCCATTTGGCATTTATGAGTATGTACCGACCAGAACATCTCTTAATTATAAATTCCTTAGTTCACTTAAGGAAATATCTTCACTATGAACTGAAATGTTAGCTAAGCATACCTTTATGAAAGTCTAAATAAACCTATATTTCAGAATAGGCTATAGTCATGAGCTAATTTATTTTTATTATTTTTTAGACTTTATTTTTAGAGCAGTTTTAGGTTCACAGCAAAATGAGAGGATGGTACAGAGATTTCCCATATATTCCCTGCCCTCACACATGCACAGTTTCTTCCACTATCAACATCCCCCTACCTACTGACACATTTGTTACAATTATGAATCTCCATTGACATATCATAATCACCCGAAGTCCATAGTTTTCATTAGGTTTCACCCTTAGTGTTGCACATTCTCTGTGTCTGAACAAATGTATAATGACACGTATCCATCGTTATGGTATCACACGTATTATTTTCACTGCTCTAAAAATCCTTCTTGTTCCACCTATTCACCTCTCCACCCGACACCATGGCAACCACTGCCTAAAATTTTACTGTCTCCACAGTTTTGTCTTTTTGAAAATGTCATATACTTGGAATCATACAGCACGTAGCCTTTTCAGATTGATGTCTTACATTTAGTAATATGCATTTAAGATCCCTCCATGTCTTTTCACGGCTTGATAGGTCTGGATGTACCACAGTTTATTTACCTATTCACCTATTGAATGACATCTGGGTTGCTTACAAGTTTTGACAATTATAAATAAAGCTGCTACAAACATTCGTTTGCAGGTTTTTGTATGGACATAAGTTTCAGCTCCTTTGAGTAAATATTAAGGAGAGCAATTGCTGGAATGTATGGCAATGCTATGTTTAGTTTTGTAAGAAGCTGCCAAACTGCCTTTCCAAAGTGGCTGCACCATTTCGCATTCCCACCAGCCATGAATGAGAGTTCCTGCTGCTCCACATGCTTGCCAGCACCTGGTGTTCTGGATTTTGGACATTCTAATAATGAGTAGTGGTATCTCACTGTTGTTTTATTTTTTTAATATTTAGTAAAAATTCTGTGCCTATTCTAGATTTTCTAAAGTGTTATGTCTAAAGACATAACAAAAAGAACACAGAACCATCTATTTTCAAGATGTCTAACAGAAACAAATCAACCTTTCCCTTGTTCATATATGGCACATTCTTGCCCTTCTCTACTATCTACAAGAGAAAGTTTAGGGTATAATGGAAAGAGCTATGGCTTAGGGAAAGGAGATCAAGTTTGAATGCTGCTCTGCTGGGCGGATAATCTTGGGTCATGTGTTTAATATCTCTGAACATTAGCTCCTAGTCTATAAAAAAGAAGTTACACAGATTAGACTGAATAACGTTAAGGAGGGCACTAGGGACGGTGTCTGACATGAGAGAGTGCTTTTTAAAATTAGGGCATTATTGTTACTTTTTAAATTATTATTATTTATATTTACACAAAAAATACCATGTTATTCTTCCCAAAACTAAGGTAAAAAAATCTCAAATGTCAACCTTCATATTGAAAAAAGAAAGGGAGGCAGGAGGCAATATGCCACGGGAGAGGAACCATTTAGAGGAAAACAGAAAGGAGACTAAAATGAAAGAGTCCAATTTCTTTGGGGCCCATTTAATTTCCCATTTACCTACTTTAGTGGACTTTAGAACTTCTAGGCCCAATTTACATAAATGGCTCAAAATGAAAAATAGAAAGACATATTCTACCCAAAATCAAGGGAAGAAATAAATTCTTATGGATTCTTATAGGTCAGTTTCTAGAGAAAGAGAAGCTGGGCTTTGGCTGTCTAGAGTGACAAATGAAGTGCCATTCTGTTCCATAATGGTTTTAAGGCCAGCATTATACCCTTTTAGAACAAGTCTCATAGTCCACCCCCCACACCAATAATCAGTACCCTAGCGTCACATCATGCAAATGTTCCTGAGTTCTCCAATGTCCACAAGTTGATAATAATGCTCTTCTAAAAAAAAAAAAAAAAAAAAAAAAACTTCATAATAAAGCACATTCAAAAATGTGTCTGACATACACCTGAAGACTAGGAATGACTGACAGTGGGATCCAGAACTGCCCTTGCTTTAATCAGCCACAGCTACAGCCACTGTTTCATGTTACCTCTTCCAGAGAGTAAGCTTGACAATGACAGCACAGACACGAATTCTCTTTAGATGGGAGAAGCTTTATTCTACAATAGCCACATCTGAAGGACATCATTTTCTCCACAGGATATATGGATGCTCTTTTCTTGTAAACAATTCTGACTAGAGTGCATCACTTCTAAACCAGAGCTGATCATGGAACATCTGCCCTAATCTTAGTAGGGACATGCGACAGCTGACAGCAAAGGAGTCCTTTCCTCCCATCCATCTGCTCAAGACGCTAGAGCCATTCCTGGATTCTTGACTACTCCTAAATGTCCATACACCAAACACCTTCTATATTGTGAAACATTATCATTGTTTTTCAAGGTATCAAAATTACTTCACCTTGAAGAAATTTTAATAGCTTGTAAAAAAATAGAAGCTCTCATACATGAATGGTAAGAATATAAACTGAGCTAACTCTTTGATGAAAAAATAGGTAGTACCTATAAATATTATTCATTTTCAAATCTTAAGTCCCCATAATTCCACTTTTAGGAATCTATCCTCTGAAACGCTTACAAAAATGCATGAAAACTATGTACAAGAGTTTGAGGACAGCATATATAAACACAGAAAAGTCTGCAAGGCTTCATAACCAACTATTAACAATGGTTACTTCTGGATGGTATGATGGGGAAGGGAAAAAGATATTCATTTATTTTATGTGAAACATTTAAGTACTGAATTTTATGAGCAGTATCACGTTTTAATTTACCAAAGAAAGGGAAAAAATTAACCTTTTAAATATTTCTTACCTTCAGTCATCTGTTCCAATGATCCTCTAGAAAGAAAACTTGAGAAAGATTCTACAACCGTGCATTTTTTCCTATATCTGCATAGAATAAGTAGAAGGGCAGATGGGAAATAGAAAGGAAAAAATAATGATAAATTAGGCTAAATAAATTTTCATTTGACATTCATTTCAGCCACTATCACACCAGAGGCATCAAGGTAAAACTCTAAACCCTAAAGTCTGTACAGCAGAGACCACCCTTCTCAACACTGCTAACTGAACATGTGAGTGGACAAATCCACACAAACAGTGAACACTAAACCTGCCAAGCACCTTCCCTGACTTCTATTGTTGAAATCAGTACTTCTGTGGTAAGAGCCACCACAGGTAAAGAATGGACTTGAATACAGTATTTGGAAGCTCTCCCTTCATTTGTGGAACTTGTAACACAGTTACATGAGGATATAATTTCACCAATATTAAAATGCACCAATGCTAACTAAAAGCTTTTGCTAGGGTCTTCCTATCTATCCAGAGCAAAGATTAAAATAAAACTGAAAATCAATCTCATTTTTACCAAGTACATCCTTTTTAAGCAAATATAGCATTCCCTTCTGAATTTGCAGCATCTCCCACATAGAAGAAGAATGTGCCTTGCTTGGCCTGGCTTGATGTGTAGTACCTCAACTCATCTACCACAGGGAGAGGTGCTCACTGTAACCCACTGAAATCTCCCTCAGCCTTTCTCTGTACCTAAAGGTACCAAAAAAAGAAAGTAGAAGGTATATAGAAGCCGAGTATTTGGTCAAATGAGAATCACACTATAATTTCTAATAGAAATTTTTTTGTTTCTATTACATAAAATTAAATGAGGCCTCCAAAAAGCTTTGAAGTTCAAGTCCTTTCCTACAGCTGTGACCAGCTTCAAACTGTGCTCTCAGTCAGGCAAACTGTATTCATTTTGTCACACGGACATAAAGGTTTGTAGTCATTTCTCAAGTATTTAATTATGCAGTTCATACTTTTGGCAGGTTTGTAAGGCGTCCTTCATGGCAGAAATACCATTTTGGATGTCCTGTTGCTCGAAGGTCATGATGGCCTGCAACACCACAATGGTACTGTAGCCCAAGGCATGGTACATACTGTTCTTAGCCCTGGGGGCAACATAGGGAATTAGTACATTTCAATACAACTGAGAAGCATTCAAGTCTTGTCTGGATGCAATCATGAGAAATCCTAATAAATGCATGTCTTGACTTTCAAAGTGATACTTCTTTACCATAATCACTGAAATAAAATGGACTTTGAGAGACAGGCCCTAAAACACTCAAGTACCAAGGACTTTCCAATTTAAGCCCACACAGGCAGCACAGAATGTTCCAGGTTGAAGCAGTGAGAGAAGATGCTTTTCCCTATTTGAACACAAGGGGGCAGCCTGTGGATTCATTTCTTAGGAAATGTTTCAAAGCAAACCAATTTTTCCCAGTCCAACAAGGGGAAGTGTACTGTCTTTAGCTCTGAATAAGTGCTAAAGTAAAAGCCACTGGAAATATATCTTGTGACAATTTCTGATGTGTTTTTCGAAAGACAAAGTCTCCTTTAAAATAATTCCCTCCCTTCTTCCAGCCAGAGGCCAAGATAAAGCAGGATTTCTGCAATAAGCTAGGTTGGCCACAGGGGGCCCTGACAAAAGAACATTTTAGACTCTATATCTAATTTAATCTAATCCCATTATCTGAGATTCCTGATTAAAATTCTTGATAATTCAAGTTATCAAGTTATGAGTGAGAATTAGATTCTTAAGGTCAGTTATTCTTAATGTGTGGCAGACACCCCAGATTCTCAGACTGTGAAAACCTCACCATTACTTTTCTCAAAACTTCTTAAATTATGTTATTTACAAGATTTAAAATATCAATGCACGGTTTTGTTCTTAATTCAAATATAGTGCATAACACTGCTGTGCGAAACAAATGAAAGCCAATTTATTCTTTTCCCTCATGGAAATAAAGAGTCTAAACATCCTTTGGTCATTTGCAGTTTGTCCTGAACAGTGAGGGGACTGGCTTTTCAAAAGAACCACAAGGAACAAGAACAGCCCAAAGTTAATCAGTAACTGTGGTTTTAAACCTCATATTTAAATCGAAAGTTCCTCCAAGAGGTAAAAAAGTATTCAAATAGGAAAAACATATGTTTAAGAGTGAAACATGCATAAAGATCAGAGAATACAAGACTCCACTAAATATAATACTAAATCGTTTATTCTCATTCCATACTATGTCCAGCTGAGTGTTACTGGCAGAAAAGGAAAAAAAAAAAAAAAGGAGACTTATTTGAATAAAAAAGGAAAGAGACAGCCATACAGGCTGAGAAAGGATAGACAAAGGAAGGAAAATGACAGGCCAACAAAAGGAGGTAGAGACAGAAGATGGAGAAGTCATTGAGAAAAAGGCAGGAGACAGGCAAGGTAGAGGCTGTGAGACAAGAGCTGGAAACAGCAAAAATGGACAATTTCCTTAGGCTGTGGCTTCATCATCCATTTTAACAACTGTTCCTAAGCTCTGAAATGCTAATTGAACAAGGTCTTCTAAATCTTAATAGAATTACCAGAGCAGCTTCTTAGTAGGTAAATTAATTTCTAAGATTTGAAGTCAATGACTGGAGTCATGTAACCCTACTGATCACTCAAAGGAATGAGATTCCCTCTTTTGTGCCCAGCTAACCTACTAGAAAATTATTATATGAGATCTAAGCTTCATCCAAGTAAGTGTGTATGAAGGCAAAACCTAAGAGTAAGTATTCCTGTCAAGTTATAGTCGCACTGTAGGGTTGAAGACTGTGGTCAAAGTGAGGCCTAGTAAGAAGACTGAGCATAGTTTTTGCTGCCACATCTTAAAAATATGCAGGTACTCTTAATTAAAATTAAGCTGTTTAACTTGTTTATCACATATATAAGGAATTCCAATAATATTTGTATTATCTTAAATTTTTTAGCATTTGAGCTTAGCATATTCTAGTAGTTCTTCTCATTCCCATTTCAAAGGAAACTTTTCTCAATTATATTTAAGCTTACCAGGAAATCCATAAAAAAATTTCACTGAAGAAAGCAAAATGAAGCTCTACAAAACTACATAAATGACACTATTTGAACAAGTACAGAAATTAAAATATGAGAAAGAATCGGAAATTGTCTACTGATTAAAGTTGAAAAGACAAATTTCTTAACTGAATATTAAAACTAACCAACAGTAAAGAGTCTCAGCCAAATATTCAGGTGGAAATACAGATAAGTTAACTAACAAGCATGACATCAAAGACAGAATCCTCAAAAACATCTGAAAAAAATATATTTTACCTAAAGGAAATAAAGTTAATTACCATGGTTGAAGCAATTCTAAGGCATCTGTAAATTTGTTATTTAGAAATAAGTTCAATGCTACAGCACATTCTTCCAGGCCACTCTCGAGATCCATCTTGACTGATGATGACCTAAAGGTTAAGAAAAAATATACAGAATTTCTATAGCTTTTACTATTAGCAAGTTGTCACAGGAAGGGAACGAGTGTGTGTGTGTGTGTGTGTGTACATACACATACTTTGGAGACAGAAAGACAGGCTAGAATTCTAACTCTGCCACTTAGTAGCAGTGTCTTGAACCTCCTAGAAATGAGCTAGGGAGCTGATTTTCTTATCTGTAAAATGGGAACACCACCACCTACTTCAGGAGCTATTGTAAGGACGGAATAAATGACAAATAATGCTTATAGTGGGCACTCAATAAATGATCCCCCAACTCCCCATCACTTCAAAGACCACAAGTGTAGGAACTACCTTTATTCATGGGGGAGCAGATATTATTTTGTTTTAGTTGGATTATATAGGGGGAGAAGTGTGTATCAGTGGAAAACTGAACTGTTTAGAGGAGACTCTTCCAGGTTATTTGCTTTTGATTCTATGGGAGCCACCTCACAACTCTGTGAATTGTAAGTAACTGATAAAAGTGCAAAGTAATTGTTGTCTATGGACATGTCAATTCTGCCCTGGCCAGTAGAGGTTCAGCTGACTACCCACTAGTGTGGAAAAAGCTGCTTATGCCTGAATTTGCATATCTATTTCAACATTGCTTTACACCATAAAAATTTGTGCTGTTTTCATTTCTCCTTTGAATCTGTTATAACAGCTGCCTGGTTCCTCATTGATCAATGAGTTAAGTAAAGTCTTTACCATGTGCTCATTTCTACATCTCTATGAGAGTCATGATTTTACCCTTTTTGGAAAATGATGTTAATTACTTATGATTGGTAAAAATTTTGCTCTTTAAAACTGGAGCCATCTCTAAAATATTTTGTGTAACAATTTTGAATAGAAAAATATTTCAGTAAGTAAATAAGCAATTTATTTAAAAGTACTTAAAGTTTAATTTCCATACCTCCAGCCTCTCCAAATTCAATCTTTGAAGCATAAAAACAAAATCTCACCAGTTACTCATCTACCAGAAATGAGTTCTGAAGGTTCTACAAGGAACAACCCTCTGCTAGCAAGACTTCTCATGACCGGTTCCTTCCTGTTATGCAGATCTCAGATCGAGAAGCACCAGCTCAGAGCTGCTTCACTGACCCTACCCCATCCTGACTCATATGTTTGCGCCATACCACTTATTACCATCCAAAGTATCCCATGCAGTATTTGTGGACATGTTTGTCTTTGTCTGTCTTTCTTCCCTAAGACAGAAATGCAATATTGTTGAACAGGTAGATGGGTGGATAGGTGGGTGGGCAGTTAGGTAGATCTGATCTGGGTAGAAACCTCATGCCTAGAGCTTAAAGGCACCTCTACTCTAGAGCAGTGCAGAAATGAGACAAGCTCTTGGTGGAGGAGTAGCTGAAGAGCTAAGAATTATAATGATTAATTTTGTGTCAACTTGACTGGGCTAAGGGATGTACAGACAGCTGGTAACACATTATTTCCAGGCGTGTCTATGACAGTGTTTCTAAAAGAGATTACCTTTTTAATTGGTGAAATGAGTAAAGCAGATGGACCTCCCCAATGTGGGTATACATCCAATCTATGCAAGGCCAGAACAGAAGAAAAAGCAGAGGAAAGGAGAGTTTGTGTGCTCTCCCTAAGCTGGGATATCCATCTTCCACTCTCTTGTGCTGCTGGTGCTTGAGCCTTCAGACTCACACTGAAATGCACCACTGGCTTTCCTAGCTCTGCAGATTGTAGATAACAGACTGTGGGACTTCTCAGCCTCCATTATCACATGAGCCAATGTCCATGATAAATCTCCTCATCTATATATCCTATTGGTCCTGTTTTTCTGGAGAACCCTGACAATACAGAACTGCTTTGCCCTTAAGTTTCCAGTAAATGAAGAGGTCAAATAATGCTAGAAGTTCACAAACCTATCTCAGGAAGATTTTTCACTAGATAGTTGCTTGATACCTCCCATCAGTCCATCACCAAATTCAGTCAGTGTTACTTCTTAAACATCTCTTGAATTTATCCTGTTTCACCTCTACTACCCAGTCTAACCTAGTCGACATTTGCTGCCTGGTGTCCACAGATACGTCTTACACCCATTTTCTACCCCTATCCCCTACTCTAATCAAATCTCTACCTAGAATTCATTCAACTAATATTTATTAAGCTCTAACTACATGTCAGGACTCTTCTAGGGGCTGGAAATACAACAATAAACAAGATGATAAGATCCTGGGCTTTCAAGGAGCTTTCATTCTCCTGGGAGTGCAGATTTAGACAAGAAGACTGGTAGTTGATTAAGATCATCTCAGAATGGGATGAATAATCTGGGAGAGACTGGTTTGGGAAGATGGGTGGGGTGAGACCCAACATTAATGAGGATGGTCATGCAAAGTTCTCCAAAAGGGTGACCTTTGAGTCTTGTAATACGGAGTCAGCCATGGCAATATTTAGGTTGAGGGGAGCGGGGAGGTTCTCAGCTGGGAATGTGGTGAGCAAGGCAGACAGTGGGAGAAAATAAGGACAGAAAGCAGACAGAAACCAGGAACCATAGTGACAGAGAAGATGGGTTTTATTCTAAGAACAAAGGAAATTTTTATCTCAGAAATCTCTACTCCCTTTCTAATCACCCCTTCCCTTCAACTATTACCTTTTCCAGTTTTACCGTCACCTGTTCTCTTAATCTTCACACACCGGCTCTCTCACATTACAGCTCATCTTTTATTATGAAGAAATGGGCTGTGAATAGATACTGGTCCTTTGGACAAACAACTAAATCTGTATCTCAGCTGGCCACACTCTGTCACCTAGGAGGATGCACTTAAATGCCCCAGCTTACACGGATAAATAAAAGTGGGAGCTTATCACCTCCAAACATAGTAAACTCAACCCTCCTAACAGTTTAGTAAGATGCTCACATGAAATTAAGACCGCCCCGCCCCCTGCTGCCACCTCCAGAATACTAGTCCTACCATGTGTTCTGCAAGGAATGACCAAGAGAACAAGTTGAATCTGGACCACAACTTCTCAAACATCTCTTGGATTCAGTTGTTCTCTCCATTTCCACTGTCATCACATTAAGTGTGACTCTTATCACTTCAAGTCTGAATTCCTAAACAGGCTCCAATAATGTTTTCCTGAGTGTTACTGCTTTGATGCAGTGGTTCTCAGACTTCGGCTTGCATTAGATTGAAACAGAAGACTTGTTAAAATATACTGCTGGGGCTGGCTCAAACATCAGAGTTCCTGACTCTAGGCCTAAGGGGTGCAGGGGACAACAAGCTTCCAAACAATACTAATTCTGTGCTTTAATTCATCCTGGATACCACTCACACTACTCCTCCTAAAACAGATGTTCAATCATATACTGCTTCCCCAGGTTAAGAATGTAAAATGGCTGCCCACATCTATCACATGAAGCTTAAACTCCTCTGCTTAACCCCACTCACTACAAGTGTCTAACCAGATTAGAGTGATGAACATGGCTATTTAAAAACAGCCAAGTATCTTGCAAGAGGCTTATCAACATGGCATCCTCTTCAAGCCTGACATGATGTAATGAAAATTCCTGGACTGGAAATCAAAAGTCAGCATTGTCATTCTCTAGTCATGGGACCTTCAGAAAGTCATTTAACTTCCCTGAGTCCACTGCCTCATCTTTGAAAAGCGTTCCCATTTCACAACATGTGCAGGAGAAACGAAGGCATAAAGGTCATATATAAGATAGTCAGATTGCCAGAATTTTATTATTTAAGACAATCTGAGGATATGTGCATGGTGAGGAGAGACGAGGACTATTACAGATCAAGGAAGCAGATAGAAAATAGAAATTCTGGATTCTTTACTAAGTATATCAAGGGAAAGTTTCTAGTTTATTCAGGGGCCCAGGACACCTTGTGCCCCAAGAGCTGCAATCAAAGAATTACAATACGTACTGATTCCACTGAAACTGTGGTCCTAGGGAACCAGATCTCAGCTCCCAAGACTATTTTCAATTATTTATTGGAGATTTTGTTTTTACTCTGTAAGAACTCACAATTCATATTGACTTACGTTGGGTAGAGAGATCATGGTGACTTTTTTCTCCTCTTTCCAAATTATTTAAACTCTGTTCATGTCATTTTTATGATGAAAATATTTATATAAATATTATAACACCAAAGTAATGTTTTAAAGACAAACAAAGAGGAAATTCTTCTCTTCACCACTTCTCAGCTCTGTAACCATGAACAACCACATCACCTTTTTAAGTTTCAGTTTCCTTATCTGTAAGACGGGGATAGTCAAGCCTGCTGTTACTACTGTACAAGATAACTGTAAAAATAAGGCAAGGTCATGGAAATAAAAGTATAAGCACTATATCTATTGAGGCACTAGTATAATTCTCCAGGAATATTCAGCTTCATGTGATAAGAACCACATATACAATCATACTTTCTGACAGAGCAAAGTTTCTCTGCATTTTGCTCATAATCTAAGGACCTACTGTTACCATACCTGATTCACAGGACCTGCTGATTAAAAAAAAAGGTAGAGAGGAGATTTTTATGATTTGTGTTAAAATGGATAAAAGCCTACAAAACCAATATATGATAATGCTGAGTTTCTCTAAATCACTTCTTACATTTTCACTGGCTTCTTTTAACTGATAAATCAATTATTTAAAATAATTGCCTTCTCAATTTAATAGCTATTAACATTTTAAAGTTGTCCAAAAGCACCTCTAATACAAACTTATTTTAAATCCACCTCTATGTAATAAAAGCTCAATAGTAATCAGTTTTTCAACTAAGGATAGGTAAGCATTGCAAATGTTGATGTATGTCAAAAATGTTACAGTAGCTACCTAAGAAACTCTCGGATGAGCTTGATGGTAACAACCATGAGAGAAGAACGTTTCCTCCTATTCCTCAAATTTACCTGAGGGAGATTTAGTGGGTGAACACTCCTGGACTCTCTCCCCTCTTTTCATTCCTTCCCTGGGATAGGAGTTATATGATTGGTAA